TGAACTCACAGAGCCTGAAGCAGAGAGCTGTAGCCTCCATAGCGACTTGCTGCTGACTGCAGGAGGGTGACACTGAAATAGAGCTGAAGTATGATGTTGGGGGAGGGCGGTGGGTTTGCTCTTCCTGTTTGGTCTCACGTTGACGCAGACGATTCAACACACAGCAGTCTGACAGTGTTATTTATAATAGAGAGGTCAACCAGCGCCTGTAAAGTTGGGTTTAAACAGACGTTCACAATTTTTGCTCATCTGTATTAAAGTTACACTAACATACCCATATTTACATTGAATGCAGTCGATTTCAAATCACAGTTTTGCCTCCAATCGAGTTTAACAAGATGGCACCGGTGAGTGCGGCAGCCGTCGTACCTGCTCCAGCACCGTTACAACTTTTCTTATTGTAATTTAACTTTTTATTTATCTTTTTGCACTGTGTTCACCATGTCATTGTGGCCGAGTGGTGGGTGCGAGAAAAAAACAACTTTTTTCTAAAAAAATTAACAACTTTAAAAATGATAATAGACAACGCCACCTAGTGAGGGACTAGGACCCATTAAAAACAAGATTCAGATCCAGGGGTGAGCAGTGTAATAAAACCAAAGATTAAAATGTCCAACAAAATTTATTACAGTTTAAAAAAGAATAAAATATTAAGATGGGTCAGGTGTCCAGATACGTGGAGTCTCGGCCTCGTCACAATCCGCTCTGCTTCCGGTCCGGCTCTCACGCGTTCTGAGTGAGAGTAAAACAGTCGCCGTCAATATTCAGAGGCTTGGATCAACAAGTTCTACGCAGCCAGGAGTGCATGCAGGAGAGTTTAATAAAAAATAAAAAATCAAAAGTAGCACTTACCTGAGAGGAGGAGGTTGCCACACGTTCCCCCTCCAATGCTCCACAACGCGTCCTGCTGGCTCGACCCTCTGTTGCTCTCTGTGTATTCTTGGGGCCGTCGTCTCCCCGGTCCGTCAGCTCCTCCAGCTCTGTCGTCTGCTCGTCCTCTGTGCGCGTCCTCCCTCCTGTGTCCACCGGCTGTGCCCTGTTATCTTGATTGCGCTTTCGCGCCACCGCTGCAATCTAGGTGCAGGTGTGCCGATTGTCCAGGTCTGTGGGGATGCTCGGTAGTGGGCGTGGCCAACATAAAGTAAACTCAAGGCTGTAAATCAAACAAAACTCAAAATACATGCAACAAACACAATCAAATGGCAAATAAAGCATGCAAATACAAATAAAAAGACCACATTCCCACATCATATCCTCGTCGTATCAAATACGACAGAGACACACTGGTAAACATTGGCTTTTCACCATATTGCACCACTTTTTCTGCCGATGCGTCCTGGCCCAGCGAGATCCTGCGGGGGCCCCTCAACAACAACAACACAGGACACCGGCAGTGTAACAGGCCCCGGGGGAAACGAGCCGGCAATAGGAACAGGTTGAGGCTACGAGCACACCTACCACCACTGCCTAGCATCCTGCTCGCGAACGTCCAGTCCCTGGACAACAAGCTGGACGAGCTCAGAGCCAGGATCAGGTACCAGAGGGACACAAGAGACTGCAACATCATCTGCCTGATGGAGACATGGTTGACTCCCACCATACCGGACCATGCCGTTCAACCAGCGGAGTGCTTCACAGTTCATCGTATGGACAGAACGCCTGAGTCAGGGAAGTCTACGGGCGGGGTGGTGCAGAGATGTTGTGTGTCTTTCTAAGTCCTGCTTGCCCAACCTGGAACTTTTAACCATCAAATGCCGGCCCTTCTACCTCCCCCAGGAATTCACCTCTGTTATTTTCAGCGCCGTCTACATCCACCCGCAGGCAGACACGGACGCTACATTAGCCGAACAACATGAGGCTATCTCCAGCTACCAGGCTAACCACCAGGAGGCAGCCCTCATCGTGGCTGGGGACTTTAACAGTGCTGACCTGAGGAAGGTGATGCCAGAACTCCACCAGCACATTGCCTTCCCCACCAGAGGAGGCAGAACTTTGGACCTCTGTTACTCTCCCTTCAGAGACGATTATGCAGCAAAGACTCAACCACCATTCGGCAGGTCAGACCACGCCTCCATTCTCCTTCTGCCCAGGTACAAGCAGCGGCTGAAGCGGGCAGCCCTGGTGGAGAGAGAAGTGTCACCATTGGTATGACCAATCAGAGGCCACCCTGCAGGACGGTTTGGAGACAGCAGATTGGGACGTGTTCCAACGCAGCTCCGGTGATGATGTCAGTTTGTTTACGGAGACGGCTGTGATTTATTGGGAAACTAGTGGAGGACACTATCGCCAAAAGAACCATCAGGGAGTTTCCCAATCAGAAGCCGTGGATGAAAAAATATATATTCTGTGTGTTTATCCTTATTTTCATTCATTTCTTAGCATTGTTTTGGTGTGGAAGAGTACGGAAAACATTTCACTGCACGCTATACCATGTATGACTGTGTTTGTGATAAACAAAGACCTTGAACTTGAATCCAATCAGGATTCAGGAGCAGGACCACGCCTCAACCACTCCCCTTCCTGTTGTACATCTATACACACCACTCTGCTATTTCCACTTGTTCGTTCTCACTTCTCTGGCACAGAGCAACAGGCCATAGCTCAGTCACACTGCCAGTCTGAAAGTTTTAGAAAACTTACTTTCCATGGAGCGCTCATCCATCAGCCCTGCGATGAGAGAATATTCAGCCCAGCTCCAGATCTCCTCCACACCAGTCAGTCTGATACACAATGAGGCCTCAGAGATGAGGAGATAGGCGTCGTCCCAGAAACGCCATCAATGGTGTTGCTCGTTCCGAAGAGACGACTCCAATCAGAACTCCTCTCCGTTCTCCAGCCTCATCAGACTCCTCGTCCGATCCCAGCCACAACCAGGGAAGCTCTTCTCAGGGAAGACTGAGACGGAATCACTCCCTCCTCAACTTCCACTCGCGGATGCTCGAAGCAGGCGAGCGTCCAGAGATAAGATCAGCACGTTCCAACACTCCCAACAGATGTCCTGACGATGTCCCTCCACATGAAACATCTACCCAGACCGTTGTGGGTCTTCAGAAAGCAGGAAGAGAAAGACTTGACCTGCCAACTATTCTGACTTCTGACAAACTCTTTCAAAACATGATCAACCACCACATTCCTCTCCTCCAGACACCCTGGATGTCCACCTGAGCATGACGTCACCACGCTGTCCATAGCTCCACTCGGGTTGCCAGGTCGGATTCATCCTATCCACCAGCGACCTGGTCCCAACTCCACCACTACAGCTATTTCTGGCCATGGGATACCAACTCACCTTTCCTCCCTTGAAACTTCCCAACAGCCTTTCCCTTCCTTGTCTGGCACTGGGCTGCCAGCTCCTCCCTCTTACATCCTTTCTTCCCAGCAACCTCTCTCTTTCATCATCAGGTTACCAGTTATTCTCCTCCATCCCCCATTACCAGCAACCTCTCTCTTTTTCTTTCACTACTGGCACCAGGCTGCCGCCTTATAATACAAGAGTTCAACACTCATCACTAGGAGGAGCTGTACCTTTTTCAGCATATTCATCTTTTATTTTTCATTTCCACTTTACAGCATCAATACTAGCTGCTAGTTCCAAGATCACAAGGCTTCTCACTCCCATGCTTTTCCTACAATGCGCTGACCTAAAGGAAGACCAGTGCTTCAGTAACAAGGACAAACTATCTTCAATAATTTTAACCTAGCCAGCTGTGGCACGCCTCAGAGCAGATACCAGTAGGTTTACGCCATCTGCAGCAGCGGTCACTCTTGAGCTGTTTGCCCTCACCATCTCACAAAACACGACCAAGTCACTCACCTTATACGATGTCTGCTACAACTCCCATCAACATCCCAGTGCTGAAACACACTCAGAACTCATTCATTCCCAGACTTGTTGATTTTCACATCAAGTGCCTTTAGACAGTTTCCACCCATGAGTCATCTCACTTCCCTCAGCACATCCTAAAGTTCTTAGTCTGCATCAGAGGATCTAGAGGCTACGGGCCCAGTGCTGATCAAAGAAGTGAAGAAGTTCAAAGAGATTGACATCAACAACCTTCTCCCCTCATTCTGGCACTGGGAGGCCAGTTTGACTCATCTCTATCCTGGTATTCTTTATACCTCATCAACAGTCCGACATCTTCCTAATCAACAAAAGTTGAAGCTACTCCCCCACAGTCATTGCTCTCATGTGGTGCCTCGAATGGCGGTCAGTCTCCAACCTGTTCTTCCTCCATGTCAAACACTTCCCAGGCTACTGCAACACCGATTCCCTTCATTCTCTCCATAATAGATTCTGTTCCTCCTTTCCATCATTCAATATAGCGCCATTATACAGTTCCATCTCATATTGCTCAACTCCATATGGGACTCAAATTTCCCACGATACCTCTGCAGCATTAATTCTGGTATTTTGCTACTGACATCTGTAGTCCTGTCCTCAGGCATCGCCATGTTCCAACCTCTAGCCGACACTGTCAAACCCATGTTTCTTTTTGGCCTTCCCTTTATTCTTGCGACACACAGAGTCCATTGTAGCATCGACTGATGGGTCAAGTTCAATCTGCACCATCATTTATCAGCACATATGGTATCGATCTTCCTCCATCTCTGAAGACCGCTCGATCGAGTTACTCAAAGTCAAACCAATCAAGCAGGTAATCCAATACCCACCATGTACTCCAAATTAGATCCACAACAGCCCTTACAAATCTAGTACACCATAGACAAACCAGAAAATCTTAGGATGCTTCACCCTCAGTTCACAACAGAGACCAGTCATGTCGCAACCTTGTCCTGATTCCTCTTCCCATTTGAGCAAGTTCCAATGGCATCCAGAATCCCAACATGTTCTCTGGCCACTCCTTCCGTATTGATATAGCTTCCAGGAGAGGGGACCACCTAATCCAGGCCATGGGCCTCAAGTGTATCCACTGCTTATCCACTAAAACCTTCAAGACCTAAGTCACACCCACTCCTTGTTTCATTCTTATGAGAGGCATTTTTGGGGGGTCAGCTAGCCCAGGAGCTGCTGCTGGTCCCTGACTAAGCTTTTCTCGACACTGCATCAGCTCAAGTCAGTCATCACCAATTTATTGCTCATTTACATCCAATAATCAATCAAGCTTCAAATTGATGGTGTGGTCCTTGCTAGTGAAAAACAATTCAGCGTACATATATGCTTGATAACTGCACACGTCTCGGTGGTTCTGGACCTTTTAGTAAAGTTCTGTTAGGACACTATCTGGACAGGATGTATCAAGGCTCCACAACCTCCAAAAGATGGAGAAAACCTGCATTTTTTACATGCATGTCAGAAAATGTATTATAGATCAGCTGTGGTACCTGGTTATCCACCAGGTGGAACTTCTATCAGTCGTATGCTGTAGAGGAGGCGTTCACACGGACTATGGGTTGTTTAAGTTTGCAAGCAGATTTGTGATGTGATGCTTAATGACTTCCAACCAGAGCTCATGTCCTTTATACAAACTGGAATAAACTGGGACAGAGTTCCTATATATCAGCAGCATATGTAACAGAGCTGATTTTGTGGCCAATATCTTGTGTCTGTTGACCAAAACAGTGATACCATTCAGGACAAATGGCCCGTGTTATTAATCAACTGATTAATGATTTATAAACCTGAGAATTAGGTTTGCATCACTCGCATCCTGCCATAAAGTAGGTTTATGACACCTTTTTTATTGGGACACCTCTATCTGTAATTTGATTCAGTTCAAGCAAACTGAAGTTGTCAGGGTTTGTTCATGTTACATGCATACCCCTCTTGCATAACAAAATGTTCACGTTTTAAATTCTACTGTAGAGTAAATATTGAGCTGAAACTTAACTTCAATTCTCCATTCTTCTGCTCTGTCATTTTAATTTTCTGGTTCATTCACTTTGCATAAATATGTTTAAGATGTGTTTCAAAAATAGTCATTACTCTGCCCCTGCAGCAATATAACAACCCAACAACAACCTAGTGAATGTTCTACATTTTGTATGTGAATGAGACAACATAGAAACAGTCTTATCAGCGTCAGGGTTTTGATTGTAGTTATCTTATATTATATGGCATTGAGTTACCTGGCAACAGGATCAAAGATCAGCCATTCACACAGAGACTAAAAACAAAACTAAACTCTGGATACAAGTGTCCTCAATAATCTGTTTAACATTTAACTTATTAACCCTAGTCCACACTCGTTTGTAAACCAGAAATCCAGTCAACACTTTCTTTGCAGTTTCCACTCAGCACTGAAGGCTGCAGACTTTCTGTTTTATTATTATTTATTTCTGTGGCTTCAATTGTGACTTTGTTTTATACGAAACACAATTTTAAAAAAAACAAAAAAAACTCACAACAGAATCTGTGAGGAATCACACCATGACTATACTTGAAGGTTTTTTTCTTAGGTCAACATCTTTTACGATCCAGATTTCATCTAGGAGTGGCTGATAAGAGCCATAATGGTGTCAATGATTTACAGACTGATCAAACTCGAAGCAGCAGTCACTTGAAATGGGCAAGACACCGAGCAACAGGTACGTCCACTTCTGAATTTAATTTAACTATTTTTCATTGTTCATCTACTATTTAAAAACAAAGCAACAAAACACATTTGTGCCTTTAAAAAGAAAGTTCGGTTGGGATTTAGATCACAGATAAAGAGATTATGAAGTACATTTTAAAGCTGTTACAGCAGTATCGAACATTAGAGGCAGTTGAAGGGTATATACTGTCTTAGCTTTTATATTTTTAAACAGCAGTTTGATTGTTTGACAATAACCTGTTGGGTATTAGGAACCTTTACCATTTTATATGAATGCAGATATGGACTTTGCATGACAGCAAGTGTCCTTTTGTTGGCTGAAATATCAAACAACACCACCAACTAATTCATTTTTTAAATCCATTTATGAATAGTATTTGCCACAAGAGAAGTAAAACCATATTCAAACATCATTTGTGTCTGCTTTGACAAAAGCAAAAGTAAAGCACTGTTTTTACTGCAGATGTGCTCTATAGGTTAAATATAATGTTCCATGGGGGCATTAGTTGGCAAGCAATAAGAAAAAGATTTTTCATCTTGGAATCTGAGCAGGAATTTATTTATTTTGGACTGGACCACTTATCTCACCTAAACACCAGTTAAAACTGTCTTGTTGTCATGGTTTCCACTGTGTTCATGGTTTCTGTACATTCTCAGAGCTGCAGGATGTTTCATCAGAAGACTGGATTGTTGCTTCAATCTACCATCACTGCTCTGCTCTTCTGTCTTCTCCAGATACACTATTGCAGAGGTAACTTCCACACAAACACATTTAATTGATATAAGATCGGATCAAGCTGTTGGCTGGTTCTCAAACTATCTCTGTAATCGTAAGCAATGTGTGCAGGTCAACGGTCTCTCCTCCAGCTTTGTAAATGTTACTCATGGTGTGCCACAAAGTTCTGTCTTAGGACCCACTCTCTTTCCTATTTATACTAACAATTTGGGTCATAACATAAAAGCATTTGTTTATCTTTATGCTGATGACACCATCATTTACTGTTGTGCAAGTACTGTTGCCTTGGCTTTTGAATACCTGCAGTCACCATTTGGCATCATCCAGTCACATCTGTTCCACCTCAGGCTTGTGTTAAATGCTGTGTTATGCTGTTAAGTCCTTCCTGGTATTGTAACTGCACAAGGCACCCCTATTGAGTAAGTGGCCTCCTATAAATACCTAGGCATCATCATTGATGAAAACCTATATTTTAAGTCCATATTAAAAAAAAATTAAAATTAAAATTGGGTTTCTTTTCAGGAACAAATCCTGTTGCATTTTAAGGCTTGGAAACGGCTCGTTGCTGCTACCTACTTACCTCTTCTTGACGATAGAGATATTGTTGATTTGAATGCCTCAGCCCAATCTCTCAAACTATTGGATGCTTTTTATCATGGAGCACTGAGATTTAAAATTGGCTGTAAACCCCTGACACACCACTGCACGTTTTAGCCTTTGGTTAACTGGTCCTCATTGCCCATGTGCAGACCTCTGCATTGGCATTGTTTCATTTACAAATCCATCTTTGATTTGCTGCCCGTTAACTTATCATCCTACATGTCACGCAAACAGTCCAGCCATGGCCTACGCTCCAAGGACTTCATTACTTTCACCATCTCCTCAGTCTGTACAGAACTCAGGAAAATGGCATTCTCTTATTCTGTCCCCTCAGCCTGGAACTCACTACAGCAGATTCTGAAACTGTCCAATGTGATTCCCCTGGGGGGCTTCAAACATCTGCTAAATACCCTGGAAAGATTGTCTCTTGGTTCATGTGCATGTTCTTTCTGTTTTATTCTATTTATCGCGTGGCACTGTTTGCACTTCCTTTTGAATGTCTAATGTTGATCCGGTCTGTTTGTAACTTAGTTATTTTTTATTGTTATGTTTTTTGAGGACAGGTCCACAGTGTTGTCTGTCTGTGAGTCCATGTTGTGATTTGTTGTTTGCGATCAGGTTTTCTCTTGAAAATGAGACCCTGTGTCTTAATGAGATTAACTGTTGTTAGGAACATTTACAGTGGAGTCCTAACAACTCCAAATCAATACACAGAGTTGTCTCTCAAGTCAAAGCAAAGTTTGACTTGCAGCAAGGAGCAACATGAACAGCACAGAGTCTGAACAAGTGACTGACTGAAAGCATGAAGCGTCAGTTCTTACATGCAGACAGTGAACAGAAACCAGAAGACATCCTCCCGCAAATGGGTACGATTAAGCACAATGTTTTGACGACCCGCTAAGGACGTTTTGTCCTTATCTCACACTCACAAAGTTCATTAGAGGTAATGGACATTTACAGCATTAACTCATAGACCTTTCACAAACATCATTGGATCACAACATTGAATTATTCCAACACTTGTACAAATAAAGTAAATAATAAGATCATGTTAACCCTTTGGTTGAGATAAGATCAACTTTGTTGATCTCTCACCTGTAAAATTGCCTTTCTACTGCAGCCAGATCCAGATGAAGCTCAACATGAAGTAAGACCAGATTCATGCATATGGATATGAACAGATATGACAAAATACAAAATAATGTTAATATCAGTATTTTTGTTTATATGTATTGAAGAGTAGGTTCATTCTTTTGTAATTTTTTGTTTTAATTAAATGAATGGATCAAATGTCCATGTGTAATGTGAAAAGAGTTGCTTGTCAGCTTTATCTCCCAAAAATTACAATTCTCTACAACCAAACTGCATTTTTAAAATGATGCTTTGAGGAAACATCTTTTCTGTAGGATTGTGCTTGTTTGTGACAATCACATAAAACAAAAACATATCTTTATATTTATTGCATTGCTTTACTGTTGCTCCTGTTCAGCCACTGAAACGTGAATTATACACCAATACTGTTTGCAGTCTGCAAGGATGCACATCAGGAGGTGGTAAATCTCTGTTTTAAAAGGATCCAATGGTGCTAACATGGATACCCAATGTTCCAGTGGACAACGATATGGGTTATCCTTCAATTTGTTGTAGAAGAGGAGAGATAGAGTCTAGTTTTAGTCATTAGGTTTAGAGTAAGTGGAGCAGAAGCTTTTCATGGAAATATCTCTGGACATGGACTGTCTTATGACGGCCCTTTATTATGTATAACTTTAGGTTTTAATACAGATTAAAGAGTTGACTAATGTCAAAATTCTGCATCCTCACAGTTGTCATACATGAGGAAATTAGCAATAAAAACCAAAACAGTTGCTTTTACCAAGCTGTGAACATGGTTGTTTCTGGTGTAAAGCTGGACATTTTCACATGGGAGTCTATGGGGATCGCTTCACTTTTTAGCCAGCCTCAAGTGGACATTTAAGGAACTGCACTTCACTGTTGGTTTTATTTTTCAGCCTCAGAAGTTTGCTGTTTGGTTTATGTGCATTAATGAGGATGAAGGTTGTAGAATGTGGATGAAGATCCAAAATAACCACAGAGAAAACTCTACATGCATTTATGTTTTACTCCAGACCTGGAGGTCGTGTCAGGGTTCAGCTCCTTCTGGTTGTTACTCAGAAACTTATACAAATCTTTTCTTTCCAGGTCAGTCTCAGGTAATCGGTCCATCTCAGCCAATAGTGGCAACACTTGGTGATTCCATCATTTTGCCAAGTTATCTGGAACCTGCATACGATGCTACGACCACAACAGTGGAGTGGGCCAGACCTGACCTGAACCCCAGATTTATCTATGTGTCACGGAGTGGTCAGGACCTCGAAAAATTGAAAAATCCTGCCTACAAAGGGAGAACATCAATGTTCACTGATGAACTGAAGCACGGAAACATTTCACTGAAACTCTCCAAAGTGAAACAGGATGATGCAGGGAGATACAGATGCTTCATTCCTGAGATACAAGAAGACACGTTCATGGATCTTGTTGTCGGTAAGTAGATCTAGTGGTTAGTGAATGTGTGCATAGTTTTCACACAGCTTTCAAACTCTGACATCAGGTTGTGAATGTTTAGACAATAAATGTCTTCTCAGTTGGTTCATATCGTACATGACTGTTTAAGCAGCAAAGATTATGACTAGAAAGCTGAAAATTTGTTTTTTTTACAAGACATAATTTTGAGCAGTAATGTTACCTCATGTATCTGTAAGGAGAGATTCTCACTTATTGATCCAGCAGTTAAGAACACATTCATTGGTGTATTTATTAGGGATGAAGCACATTAATAAACTTTGCTCTGAAGACACCAGAGTCAGACAACATGTCATTTATTATTCTTGGTCCTTAGACAGAATTAGAACTTTTCTCTTGTTTGTTTGGTTTGGAAAGTCAAAGAAAAGGTGATGTGTGAAGCAGAGCTCCTCCTGTAGCTTCATGCACATTATAAGGTTTATTCATTGTCCACAATGTGTTTGAACGTCCAGATTTACAACAGCAACCAAATGCTGTGTACCAATGCAGGAACTTGTGGGGTCTATGAACGGCCTGAACTTTTGTGTGTGTTCCCACCACCCCAGTAGAACCAGAAAACCATTTATTCTGGTGGAAAGCTGCCTAACAAGATACTTGAAGGACCAAAACCAGTTTAGGAGCCAACAGAGACTGATGGTCAAATGTTTACAAGTAAAAAACTGATCTGCTGCTTGAAAGTTCACACTAACGACACTGAATGATTATAAAGAGGCCTGCATGACTTTGTTTTTAAGACGTTGGATTCTTTACCAGATGTAATTATGGACTCTACATGATTCATTTGGTGACTGACTCCTGTTTTAAATGTGTTTCTTCTGACATTTTGAGTTTCAGAGAATACCTCTTTATTCACCACTTGATTTGAATCCCCTATTCCCTCCATCACTCATTGACCGAACCTTTGCATTGTGGAAGAGCCACGGACTTGTTTCTGTGAAAGACTTCTTTGTTGACGGCAACTTGGCCTCATTTGCTCAATTATCTGCCAAGTTTAATTTGCCCAATGCACATTTTTTTAGGTATTTACAGGCGAGAGACTTTATTAATAAACATTTCCCTGGCTCTCCCAGTGTCCCGGATACGACTATGATTGATACTGTGATGGAAATAAAGCCTTCTATGAGGGGTGCAACGTCAAAAATATATAACCTCTTACTTTCTAGTATCTCGGTAACATCTGACCACCTTCGTGTTGCCTG